TGCGCTGACAAAATAAAGAGGACTGACTGACTGACAGACTGACTGACGGACTGACTGACTGACGGACGGGTCAAAAACATTATACCTCCCGCAACTAGTTGCGTGGGGTATAATAATATTGTTCTCTTGATTTTATGGACACTTAAAACATGTACTAACCAATGATCTGGATGTCTTTAATAGTAGCTTTCCTTAAATTTGTGAACTATATTCAAATCACTAATTTAAATTGTATTAAAGTCATAGGTTTGTTACTTCAACTCTATAAAATGTCTGCTGGTGATGTTTCTGTTCCTACAAAACAGTTAAACTTCATACATTCTTAAGTGTGCTTTTGTTACATTCAAATATATAATAATTGAATTATCATTTGAAGAAATACATGTGCCTTACTACTATCTTTTTTAATAAGAAAAAATACATAAGTTTTAATTAAAAGACAGTTTAATGGTGAATTAAATAAAGCATCAAAATTTATTTCAGTAAGTGTCAATATTATCCATTTAAAAACTTTACTTTCATATGTTCAGGTAATGATCAGCAGTGTAACCCCCCCCCCCCCCCCAACTCAATTATTAATCGGCAATGAACTAGTTTGCTGAAGTTTTTAAAGTCTTGTAAATTATCAATTTTATCAATTTAACATACACAGACACACAAATGAAATTAACCTGTTGACCAGAGAGGTGCATTTACGCAGTTGAAAATTATTACATCACAGGTGTCAAGTGCAGTAGAGCGTGACTAATCCCTATCGATCTTCTCCTGATTGTGAAATTCACGAGATAAGCATGCCATACAAAGTATTTGTTTTGACAAGAGTTTTCTACACGGAATCAAAATCTAAAAGGTGTGAAAATACTGATAGCCCTGTATTAGGTCACATACTCTCACTGTAAATATTCAAAGTTATGATGAATTAATATCTAAAATGTAGCTATAAGCTTGAATTCCCATGGCTATGGAAAAACTATAAATTTGATTAAATTCCTTTAAATTTTCAATCTTTGATCTTGAAAAATAATTACAAATTTATCTTACAGGACAAATATATTTTTTTCATTAACACAAACAGAGTTAAGCGTATCTAAAAGTAATTTGTTTAATTGCTTTGATAGTTCAAATTTACTATCGGACACATAATTACCCAAGCGAATGTGTATAAAAGACGTGATAGAATCGCGGTGAGTGACGAAATTTTGAAATTTTCTCAACTGATGACAAAACAAGATGCTATGTCGCTTTAAAAACTTTGTATGTTTATATCAAAAATATACGATTTAGTCTGTCCTCCATAATTTGTTCCCCTTATTTTTGTCATTATTACATGTTTTATTTATTATATTTTTTTCTTCATTTTCTTTTTCCATTTTTCTCCCTTCTCATTTTCTGATTGTGTATATCATATACTTATACCTCTGACCTGATTATATATATATATACATGTTGTAAATATTTATCTTTGTCCTCATGTACCATGTATTTAATATGGTGTTGAGCGAATAAATGAACTTGAACTTGAACTTGAACTTGCCGCCTATTACAGTGTTAATCTGTTAATAGGGCTATTTTAGTGGCCGCGTTATATATGTATTTTTGTTTATATAAACTGATGAGCCGTATGGCTTAAAGTTATTGAATAAAGAATTATATATATACAGGTCGCCGTTTTTTTCAGTTAAAATATAACTGTAGTAAAAATCGTCGGGGGGAACTGAGAGTGGCTGCTGAACGCAAATGGCTGTTGATTTCGGGTGGCCGCTAAGACAAGTACAATGTACATGTATATATAAACTTTCAGGCAATTGGTTTGTCGGGAAAAGTTTAATATCGTAAAAGCTAAAAAAAAAAATTGTACCAAGCAACTTTAACACAAAAAAGGTATTAGCTCAGGTTCAGAGATAAACTAAAGTATTTATTTCTATTTGTACTTCAGAGTAGCTAGAAAAATTGTGTAATTCAATGTAATCAGACTGTTTGTTTATGTATACATACAACTTCATTAAACAGTATTATGAAACAGTATTGCTTTATTTGTGTTAAATATTGGGGAGGGGGATGTTAGTGATGTTTTGAAAAGAAAACAAAATTAATGATTCAATTTATTAAAGGATATGAACATCTCACTCTCATTACTACATTGTATTTGTTTCAGACTTATCAAGTAAATATATTTATCAAAAATGAAATTAATTGCATTACATATAAGTTTTTGATAAAATGAAATATTTTTCACATTAAAAATGAAACAAAATTAGACCGAAACACAGATTTATTTAAAATGAATCAAAAACAAAATTAATTCATTTAAATGAATCAAGAGTTAACATAATCATTTAAACATTGGATAAAATTTTATTTTTGATTTTGGAACACCAACAAGTATTAAGTAAGATTAGTAAAACAGGTTTTGTGCAAGTTATTCTATGTCAGATATTTGTAAATCAATTATAAAATTAGCCTCTCAAAACTACAACAAATTAAGTGAGGTATACACCCTGTGATCTATTTTTAGCTAAAATGTCACCTTATCTTTTTAACAGTGTTTAATGACCACTTCAGCATTAGAAGAGGCCAATTGGGTATTTTAGCAACTAATTAAAATGTTCTGCACTCAGAAATAAACATTAATTGTCATTTATCAAAGTTGATATACCACTTAATTTTACAACTAATTATAGAACGGCATGTTGATTCCTACGAAACCTACTTGCTGTGAAATTTTGTTATCTACATTTGAAACATGATAAAAATTAATGCAAAAATTATTCAATTTGAAGAATAATAAACACAGAAGATTTAAAAATTAATCGGGAGGAGCGGAAGGGGGAGTGAAAAATCGGAGATTTTGTCGCCCGACGGAAGAGGCACATGTATTTATTTTATGATATTGTAGTAGGAAAGGAGAAATGCACGAAGAAAACATATGGCTGGACCGGGAATCGAACCCGGGACCCCTGTATTACTAGTCAGGTGCTCTAACCACTGAGCTATCCAGGCCGATATCCACGGTCCGTAAAGCCCGAACTTCTACATTCCTCCCTCCTTAAACAGTCTTCGACCTCGAAGACACAAGTTCTAGGGCCCTGCCAGGAATTACTAATTTAAACATACACTGTAACCTGAACAAAGCCCCCCCACACTGGCCACCAAATGTAGTAGGAAAGGAGAAATGCACGAAGAAAACATATGGCTGGACCGGGAATCGAACCCGGGACCCCTGTATTACTAGTCAGGTGCTCTAACCACTGAGCTATCCAGGCCGATATCCACGGTCCGTAAAGCCCGAACTTCTACAATATACATGTATATGCATGGTTTTACCATAGGAGTAGAGGAAATTCAAATTAAGAAAAAAAAAAAAACGATAGTTTTTGGAAGTAAATAAGTCAGGTAGTCCTGCAACACAGATTAGATTATGGATATTTATTGACAGTAGGAGCATGTTGTACGGAAAATGTTAACTGTTTGAGAATTTCATAGCAAAAAAAACGAGTGGAAATACCTACCGCTTGTGCTTTTAATGTATTCCTTGTGTAATTATATTTTTTACTACCCCAAAGGGCACCTCCTCACAGAAAACCACTAGCCCAACCCCCAAAAATGGTAGATCTAGCCCCAGGCATTGGACAATTTTAATTGCTGGCCTCTAATTAAAAAAGGACTATCACTGCACTCGATTTTTTTTTTACACAAGCCCGTTTTCAACAGGTACGTGTGGACTACAGATGTCCTTTTCTTGACTTTCAATAAATTCTACAATTGCATAATGTACGTCTGTAACGTATCAAGTAAGCTACAAAGTTGTTTTTTTTCATTTCAATGTGGTGCAACAAAATAGTCAGACTTACCGCATTTGCTTTTTATGTTTCCGAATTTCCTCAAAGCTAATACAACGCAGCTACTTCCGTATTCTGCGCATGCGCAGTTAGTTTTTAAATATATGCGCATGCTCAGGTATTCGGAACTCCTCGATTCAATTGCCGAACTCCTCTAAACAGCAGATTTCTGAATGTCTGAGCGTTTTGGGCTAAGGACATGTCCAAAATTTGGACAAAGTCTTTTTGAGGTTAAATCTAATTTTAGGTTTTTCGACCTCATAGAGTAATTTTTAACGTAAATAGACCTCTTCATTATGGGGTTAACCCCACAGTACCAAAAAAAACCCACACTGCTGGTAAATACGTTCATTTTACCCCCACAATGTACCTCTCGTAAGAACTGTCTAGCTGTCCGTCTGTCTGTCCGTCCGTCTGTCCGTGCAAACGTGTTCGCTCCATATCTTTCTTACGGAGGGACATTAGAATCTACTACTCCACACAAAGATTGCCCATGACCTAAGGGTGTGTCATGACCTTGACCCAAGGTCATTTGGGGAAGTTCAAGGTCACTGGAAGAAAAAGTTCATAATTCGTGTCCGGTCTACATCTTTTTTATGGATAAACTTTGTAGGTTCTCATTCTACACAAGGATTGCTCATGACCCAAGGGTGTGTCATGACCTTGACCCAAGGTCATTTGAGGAAGTTCAAGGTCACTGGAAGAAAAATTTCATAATTCATGTCCGGTCCATATCTTTCTTACTGATAAACTTGGTAGGTTCTCATTTCACACAAAGATTGCCCATGACCCAAGGGTATGTCACGACCTTGACCCAAGGTCATTTGGGGAATTTCAAGGTCATTGGAAGAAAAATTTCATAATTCATGTGTGATACATATCTTTATTATGGAAAAACTTACTTCAAAAAAGTACCAGCGAGGGTATTTTGTCCCGTTTGGACAGTTCTAGTTGGTAATACATTTTTACAAAGCTTGTAAAGCAATTCTCATATCTAAGAAAACATAACTTATTAAATATGATTAATGTTTATCAAAATTAAATCTTTTACGTTATTTGTTGCAAAAGTACGAGGTATAATGATAAAGTTAAATTTAAAACTTTTTATAATAAAAATTTCAATGCAATTTTTAATTTGTATCGTAATGATACTTTTCTTACTCTGGCACATAGCTCCCGCAAAATTAACGTTGCATCCTCTGATACAGGTTCCATTGCCATGATCACAAATCTCATTCAAACAATGAACGCTACATCTCTCAGTACAATTAACTCCTCAGAATCCAGACTCACACCCACGATTACAGAATCCGCTGTATTTTTCACAAGCCCCGTTATAACATGTGGAGGAGCAATTATTTTGACAGGTATTTCCCAAGTGTCCTCCACATGTGTCACATACACCATTTGAGTAGCACGTATTCCCGAAACATTCTGTATGACATCCTGCAGAAAAGACCTCTAAAGCGTATGAGAATTGTATTTCCCGAACAAAACTTATATATTATACAATACAGAATTAGAGATTTTATTCAATACTTTCCAAAAATATCATTTTTGAACGTACTAATTCTTAGTGGAGGGGAGGAGCGATTTCACGTTTTCTCTCATATGGTCGTCAGCTAGCAGTATTTATACGGTAATATTTATACTTATTAGAAGCATGTTTTCCTTTAATGTGTTTTTTTACTTCAAAAAAGAGTCCAAAACATTTTAGTCCACAATTTATAATATAGAAATTTCGTTACCATTAATATCTATTTCACAGATTTCTAGCATATGTCCAGTCTATACACCATTTTCGGGAGCATTATATGTGGTTTCTATGATGACGTATCGTGCTGTCGTGTACAAGGAATGTCAATCACAGCAGGGGGCGTGGCTTGGTCTGTAGTGTTGTCCGTGTAGCATCTAACCCTCTGTGGTGTTAATGAGGTGGAGACAGCTGCTGATGTGTTTGATACATCCAGGTAAAATTGACGAAACTGCTAAGGTTTCCATTTTATTTCTAAGTGCACACAATAGACAATTATAGATATTATTATATTATAAGATTTATATGATAAAATATTATATTTATATTTAATGATTTATACGCATCTTCAATGCATACAAAAAGTTAACTTCTTAAAAAATCTTCGTTCATTATGTTTCATTATACCCGTATTTTCTTTTATATATGTTCATGAAATTTAAAGTATCAAACAGGATAAAAAGACGTATAAAGTATTCATTTTAAGAATCATTTTGAAATTGTTGCCAGAAATGAATAAAGTGTGTTCATACATGCTTTACGAGGTCATTCAAAAATATATAGATTTTCAATCATTAAAATTGAAATCATTCTAGGTATTTTTCTCTATAAACATATAAAGGCAAGCAGCGAGAATATAATTATATAATACTGTTTTGTGAAAAAGTATGTAAAGGCAAAAAAGCAAAGAAATTTTGAGTGTAGAGACTTTGAAACTTTGAGTCGGAGGAACACATTCTATGCCTGGTCCTTTCGCTTATGTTTTCCTATCATTTTTTAATGGAACGGAATGTATATTCTTTATAAAAGTAAGCGTATGCTGCTCTCATAATACGTATAACTTTGTTGATAAGGGGAATTTGAAAAAAGGTGAAACGTTCGAATGACTACGTTGAAAGTGGATGTTTGTAGATTTATGCAGTCTGAAATTATCAAAAGAGGAAAATCAAATCACAAAAAAATTTAAGCTACAACTCAGAAAAATTAAATTTAAAAATTAAATCATAATTAAACCATTAGATCATTATCATTGGAGGATTCCTAATTATTATCTTTTTTAATATACTAACCATTTCTGTAATATATTGTCACAGAGTTTACTCTATAGGGCCTGCTCAGGTCAACCTGAAACCACGCTATTGATTTGTATGGCGCCGTTTGTGAACACTCTAAATATGATGTCTGATTGTAATTCCCATCAACAGCTTTTGTTGCAGGTAGAGCTCCTCTGTCTGAGCTTGTTGATGCAATTATACCTGGTTTTCTGCATAAGTTCTCTAAAATGGATTTATTGGTCTAAAGATAAGAGTCGAAAAATATAAATGTTATTAATAGCAGTAAGAATATTCATGATATAAAATTGAAATTTAAAACATTACAGCTGCTGCAAACTTGGTAGAAAAGCTTCAAAACTTCGCATTCGTAGGCCTAATTAAAGTACTCACAGAAAAGCGAGTATTACCGGTAATTCCTTTTTCCCGCCTTCATTTTCCACATTAATTCAGTTATTGAAAATTCGAAATTCTGGTCGGGTTTGATTGACGCATCTTTGCACTTTCACAAATTATAATTTTATTCTTAATACAATTACAACTTGCGTAATGCATAAATTATCTTTATGGCAATCTTTTGTATTGCATTCCTGGCAAGAATCTGACTTTGAGCATGCTTCGCCCTTTTTAACCAAACATTAATTTTTATTTTGTTTCTTTATAAATAACATTCTTTATTGTGTTCTCATTCAGTTAAATAACCTGCTTAATTATTAAACTACGTGTACATACAAAGATTTCTTGATAAACAACATCTAGCAAAGGGGCATAACTCTCATCTACGTTGCTTAAGATACACAGGAGCAAAAAAGACACTTTTTTTTATAATTATATTTAAGGGACTCCGACCCTCAGCCAGGAAGGACAACTCTTTAATTTATAATTTAATTCAAAAAGTCTTTAAATGAAGCTTGAAAATTAAATATTTTCATGCAACAATTTTCATTATATGCCCCTCAATGTGCTTCACGGTTCTTTGCAAAGCTCCGTAAATTACTTCTAATTTCTAATTATGTTAATAAACATTGGTATCCAAAAATGCTTTTTCGGGATAAAAATTTCTACTTTTAATTAGACCTTTCTGAGAAGTTCAAAGAACCTTGAAGCACATTGAGAGGCATATAATGAAAATTGTTGCATGAAAAGATTTAATTTTCAAGCTTCATTTAAAAACTTCTTGAATTAAATTATGAATTAAAGAATTGTCCTACCTGGCTGAGGGTCGGAGTCCCTTAATACATTTACATTGATATTATTGCATTAGTTTGTTTCCTTACAACTCAAAGACAGAGGAGAAAATTTTCAAACCATTAAATAAGTGCATTTTTGTTTTTGATAGAGCCTCACCCAAGCGCAAAATTAAAAAAAAAAAACTCAGGGACCATGAAATTCACAATTTTGGAAGAGACACTCTTCCTCATCATAACTCTGTACTTAATTCATCAGCTTTAAAATACCCAGGAGCAGAGAGGAACATTTTCAGAGCATTTATTAATTTTTTCAATATATGATAAATACCCCCCCCCCCCCCCCACACACACACACATACACACATACACACACAGAACTCCTGACCCCAGGGCCATGAAATTCACAATTTTGGAGGAAGCTCTCTTTTTCATTATAAGTATATACTTAATTCGTTAGCTTAATACCCAGGAGCAGAGGAAAAGATTTTCAAAGAATTAATGCATTTTGACTATATAAACAAATATATGTAAGCCCCGCCCTAACACCAGTATCCCTGACCGCGGGGCCATGAAATTAACAATTTTGCATTAGAGACACTTGCTTATTATAAACATACATAAAGTTGTTTCTTTCATACCTAGGAGTAGAAACGATTTTCAAAGATATAATGCACTTTTGCTATAAAATCTATACAGCCCCGCCTTACACTAGACCATGTGACCCTTGGTCATGAATTTTACGATTTCGGTAGAAAATTCAATGCCAGCAGTTCGGCTGCTTGGTGTCCATGAGTAAATGAGAACATTTTTAAAGATCGCATTAATTTAAGTGTTTTTCTCTACCCTTCAGGTCATAGGGGACAGGGACCATGAATTTCATAATTTTTGTTTCCCTTCACCCATAGATGCTATTTGGCAAATTTGGTTGAAATTGGTTAAGTGGTTTCAAAGAAGAAGCTACAAGTGTTCAAAGGTTCACGACCGATGTACGACGAACGACGGTGGATGAAAACAGATAGACATAGGTCACATGACTGACTCAGAAGACCTGAAAATACTTCCCTTTGATAAAAAACAGAAAAATCTCAATATTACTTCATAAAAGCCTATAGATAAAGTTCTTTCAATTATAAGCCAACATCTATTTCGCATATAAATATTAATTTCATCTATCATATATGTCACAATGAAGAATGAAACTAAAAATAAATGTTAATGAAATAATAAACGATCCAAACCATAACAGACACATCCTCCATACTGGAGTAGAAAACATGCCAAAAACTTGGTAGCCATAGCGGGAGAGGAAGAAAAAGAGCTGTGTATTCATTTTGTAACGCTATGGACCTCATGACTTTAAATAACAATCTCAATCTGTACAGTGGTGTGTATTTTGATAAGTATATTATGTTAATTAGCAATTTTATTTCTATATACCTTTTTAACCTTTTTATTTGCTTCAATTAGAGAGCTCTCAAAAATAAGTCGGTAAAAATTTATTTTCGTCCTCCTTCCTTGCTTATCTAAATAGTTTTCAAGTACTTCTGTTAAATATGTCTTTTTATATCATTGTAAAACATGTTTACTGGTATAACAAACATCCAATTCCTCATCAGGCATTTACTTACATATGTACAGGGAAATCATAAATTGTTTAAAAGATGCTGCAAATTATTAAATGTCAACCAAGCATAAAACGTTTAAGATCGTGATTTCTGATTGACTTGATTTAGATGGGCATTTAATTTTTCTTGCGAAACCCTGTTTGCCCAATGCTGCAATTAGTTAAGGTCAAGATCTAGTAAATGAAGGGTGCCTACAGATTTATCAAACTTGAGAAATATATTCCTTTATTGATGCTTTATAACTTAAGCTTGGTCAAATAAGGTGTTTCGGGTCATAATTTGTAGGTAAACAAGATGAAAAACCATATTTTATACTGTCATTTTCAATGAAAAATTAAGAAAACCGGTCATGAATATGGGAGTTTTTTTCATAATCGACAAAGGAAATGTATCCAGATTGCCTACAGTCTCTCAGAAAACGGTTATAAGTATGTTCATTGCCTCATCTTTAAATCAATATCAAATTTAATATAGGTATCCGGTTTACTTTTGGTATGATTTCGAATTGAATGACATGAAAATACCCTATTTTCTACATAATTCTGCTAAAGCCGTAAAGTACGGGAAAAAGAAAGTTGAAATTGATTATGACGTCATAATGGATCTAGCATCAAAAAATTTGTCTCAAGTTATTTACTAGATCTTGACCTTAAAGCTGTGTATGGTGTATATTAGTTAAAAGACTGGATGTTGATTATTCTTGTTCAATTGTGAATAAGAACAACATCACGTTTCCATAGTTAAATTGACTTAAAACTGGGTCTTATATTTAAATGCCAAATAAATCGGATTTTGCTATAAAATTTGAATATCTATGAAGCCATATTGATATCAATTGTGTAATTTACAGGAATATACCCTAGCTTTATATAAAGTAATAAGGTAATTAGAAAGATCTTATAAATTTTAGTTACTCTGAACATATAAAAAAATACGCCATTATGGAAAGCCGTAGGGTACCCCCACATTATTATTATTTTTTCCTATATAATTATACCAAAAATAATTATCTCATCCCAAACTGAAAATCTTGCTTTTTACAACATTATTATTATTTTCCTGCAACAATTATAATGTTGTCTGTTAAATTGTATGGAAAGCCGTAGGGTACCCCCACATTATTATTATTTTTTCCTATATAATTATACCAAAAATAATTATCTCGTCCAAAACTAAAAATCTTGCTTTTTTACAACATTATTATTATTA